TGCGGGAGCCCGTTCCTCCGCGTTTTCGGGGCAGCCGGGCACCGGCAGGCGGGGGCAGCGGCCCGAGGAGGGCCGGCCCGAGTTTGGGAGCCGAGGAGGAAGCCGGGAGGGGCGGGCCCGTTCTCCGCCGCCGCTTTCTTTCCCTCCTATCCCTCCCTCGCGCTCCTCCGCCGCTTCTTCCTGCTCTTCTTCCGCTGCTGTCGCTCGGCCTCATCCTCTCTCACCTTCCTCCTCCTGCTCGCGCTCCTGCTCGTCTGTCACCTGCTCGCTCTTCTCTCTCCTCCGGGGCCGGAGTTCTGCGCCGCCCGTGCCCGCCGAGCGGAGCCGCGAGTCCGGAGCGGGCTCTGGGTCCGACCCGCTGTCCTCGTCCCGCTCCGCGGTGTCTAGGGCACGGTGCCCGTGCTGTACAAGCCTGTACCAGTTTGAGGTTTTACCTGCCTGAAATGCCACATTAACTGTGTGTGCCCTAAAATCCCCGACCCCTCGACCTGCGCGCTGTCTGTTTGGCAGGAGAAAGGGAGCGATTTTTACTAACTGAGCTTGACCCTCTGACCTACCTTCAACTGTTGACCAATACTGTTTTTCACCTCCGTGTTGGACAGACGCCTAATTTGTGTGTCAGGCAGGACAGTTAAGACTTGTCCTGGTATGTGTCCCATTATTCATTGGCTTTCTTGATTTTACAAGTCCAGAACCTTAATTTAGAAATCATTTTGCATCTTGAGCTAATTGCTGCAATACTGGCAGGTGCAGAGTGCACCCAGTACATTTGTAAATTGCCCCGTAAAACTGCTTGTGAAAGAGTGTCTGGCACGGATATGCAAAGGACGCACGCGGGGTGTCCCAGCCAATCACTTGCTGCATATTTATTAGGTCTGCCTCCAGGATGCTAAAATCCATGAGGGAAACAGCTGTCTCTCGGCATTTCATTATTGTTTTATTTTACTGCCAGATTCACGAAGTTCGCTAAACCACTTCATGAGCTAAAGAACCAGCAAAGAAAAGAAGTTGTTTAATCCCTCAAGAAATTTTCGAAAAGAAGAAAAGAATACTTTTCTAAGAGATATACTATCTTAGATAGGGCGTATGATGTGTGCCAACTGGGGCTACCATTTTTTGAGATTGCCTACTTGTGATGCCTGGTGATGGAATATCTGCTATATTTTAACAAGCATAACTATTGACAGGCCATCAGTGGAGCACGCACTTGGCTGACCCACTTACAGTCATCCGTGAGGAAGTCCTGTTGGCTCTACCTCTAGGATCTCAAGTCTGTCCACGGCCCCCACCCTAGCCCAGCCTCCATCCTCTCTTTCCTGGACCACTGCAGTACCATTTAATTGATCTTCCTGCTTCTGTTCTTGCCCCTTCTCCTGTTTGGGCTCCACCAGTAGCCATCTTTTAAAAATGTACGTGTTTAAATCCACTGTATGTCTTGAATAAATGGAAAGACATGCCCTGTTCTTATATAGGAAGACATAGAAATATCAATTTTCCTTAAATTAAACCATAAATGTAACTAAGCACAGTAAAAATAGGATTTTGGGGCCGACCCGGTGGCGCACTGCGATAGTGCGCCGCTTGGGAAGTGCGGCGGCGCTCCCGCCGAGGGTTCGGATCCCACATACAGACCGGTTCCCGCTCACTGGCTGAGCGAGGCGCGGGAGCAATGCCAAGGGTTGCGATCCCGTTGCCGGTCCCGGTCCGGTACGGGGGCGACACTGAGGGTTGCAATCCGTTGCCGGACACGGAAAAAGACAAAAAAAAAAAAAAATAGGATTTTGTTTTAGTAGACAAGCTAATTCAAAAGTCCAAATGATAAAAACATGTAGGAATAAACATCCTACCAGATATTAATCAAGAAGGAAAAGAATAACAAGCCCAATGGAAAATAGAGACAAATGTCATGAACAAGTAGTTTTCAGAAGAAGAAATGCAAATAGTGGTTAAAATATAAGATCCTCAACCTATCTCGCAATAAGATGAATGTAAATTAAGACCGTATTCAAATCTCATTGTCACCTAAGAGTTGGGCATACATAGAAAGTGTGAGGAGCCCACCGTTTCAGGAAGGGGGTGTGGAACCAAATGGCTTTGTATGCCATTGGTGGGACT